TTATGATAATCTCATTTTTTCATACTATAGATCAAGATTAAAAAGTATTATTGAGAGAAGTTGCTTTAGGCAAAGCAAGGACGAAGCCAGGAAAACTGAGCTCATTACAACCTTCCCAAGTGGGTGTGTGCGTATCTACATACCTATTATCCACATCACACTCAGGATACAACACACCCTGGGCATTATAAAAAGCTATTTTTGTACTGCTATCCTGTAGATTTCAGCAGATAGCTTTGGAACATGCACTTTTACAAACAAATACTGGCATTTTTCCAACAAATAAAAACTGGCACTGCAAAGTTTTATCTGTGGATAGTAGTTGACAACTATTACCGTAGTGTCCTGTTACAGACACAGCACAGCAACTGCAGGAGAAACAGAGCCAGTACCTTCTGTGAATGCTACCATGCAAAAACAGACATACCTTTAAGCAGACTCCTAATGAAGTCACTGTGGGTTCAATAAAGGAGAAGCGAATGAACAAAACTTCTTCACTGATTTTTCTCAAAATCAGCTTAATGCAGTATAAATAAAAAGTGTTCCTTCCAAAGGTGAAGACACCCCCTTTAACATCTCAATTCAAGTTGCAATTTGAGGGAAGTTTAGGATAACACCTCCTAACCTGTATGTCAAGAAGGTCGATAAACCAGCACGTTGAAATCTAACCTAAAAGGGTAGGTTTAGTTAGCAGACTAAAGGTATGGGAAAAATTGTTCTTTGGAGTATCAGTTTTTAATCTAAGGGTTAAACATGTACGCCTATCACAAGAAAAATCTCTTTGTTGGACATCAAAGCGCATACTGAGCTAACAGTTAAGAAAATTAAAACCCTATTGCGCTTAAACATATGGGGAGGCCAAAAAAAAAAAAAAAAAAAGAAAAAAAGAAAAAATTAGGTTATAAAATCACCCTGCTTCCCCCACACAAAAACCTTAGTTTTATGGCACTCGCTTTTCTGTACAGGACGTCTTTACTATTCTAATTAGCAACATTCTTGGTTTGTAGAAATTTGGTCATGATGCCACTGACTGCATGGCAGTACATGCTCAAATGAGATAACTGTTCTTTGAGCATATCACACTTGTTACCTAACTGAAAAAGGACTTGTAACAACTCTTCATGACCTGCTAAAACACCACTTTTAAGTATAAAGGAAAGAAACTTGGCAGGAGACAAAGTGGATGTTAAAACATAGTAAGTTCCTCACAACTTCATTGCCCTTATGATGAAAATAGATCTTGAAGCTTTCTATGGATGTCTAAGCATGCATTTTACTGAGAAAGGACATACTGTGGGTTTAAAACATATTCATTACATCAAACATTTGCCTGAACAGCAGGAAATCTAATACTTTTTCAGATGCCACAAATAGTTTACACATTCTAGGGCTCCGGCCTAACTTTTACCAGTCCCTTCTACCTTTCTCTTTCCGTAAACTCCTGCTGGCCATAGGAAACTGGAATGCTATTTGCATGACACATGTTGATAGGCCAATTTACCAGAAAACAGGTCTCCAGTGCACACCAGCATAGGAAGTCATCAACCTTATGATACATAACACAACAAGCAGGTTTCTTAATGCACTCAACTTTGACTAACTGATCCTTTCAAATAGCTAAGAAACAGATTTGGACTGGTTCTCCAAAAGAGTTGTGGGCTTTTTTTTCTTCCTTTCTTGTATTTTGTTTGATTACTAAAATCTTCGTTTGTAAGGATGGGTCCTTACACAAATCTTAGAGAAGTACGTACCATATCAATCCTTGCATTTCATTACCTCACAGAGAAGGAGAGGCATGTTTGCTACAAAGCATTGGTAAAGCTTCCCTGAAACACTGCCTCCTATCTGAGATAACATAATTAAAGACAACATGGTCTGTTTGGAGAGTCTTCAGGGGAAGTCAAGAAGAAATGTTCAGACACATGAAAGAAGGACTGGAAAAAGTTCTTTTTTTTTTTTTTTTTTTTTTTTTGTGTGTGTG